TTTGACTCCAAAGTCAAAATCAACTTGTGGTGTGCAATTGACGGGGGTAGGGGGGCGTGTTCGGGTCGGGGGCGGGGTGGGGGGTTTACCGGGGGGTTAGAGGGGGTAGGAACTGTCAATTTTACGAACGGGGCACCGGAGCACCCCCGGGTCATCCCATGACATTGGGGGGCAATGTCATGGGAACCTTGGTGCATTTTATGACCCGAACCCGAAATGATCTAAACCCAAAAACCATTAATTTTTTGGTCAAAACGGGTTAGGTCGGATTTGACCTGACTGGTTATGCACTTAATTGTTTACGTTTATTAGTTATTTAATTTTATAATTTCATTTAAAATATGATATACCCATTAGGTTATTCAAAATTCAAAAAGCGTAAAACCTAATCTAAATTCAGTAACATTCCAATCTCTCTGTCCCCTCTCTCTCCTCTCTTTCTCTCGTTCTTCCATTCTTCCATCGTCAGTCGATATTAAGTGCCGAGTCAATCAAAATTGTGAGAATACACAAGAACAATTCTAAAATTTTTAATCTTATTTCATCTTCTTCAGTTGCTTCTATGAGTAACTCGAGTTTTAATACTTTTCTTCTAAATTTTTTGGTATATTATAAACTTTTTTGGTAATGTGTAATTTTTTTGGTATACTGCATTTTTTGTATGCTACAATTATGTAATGACGGTACATGTTGTGGTACATTCTACAAAAAATGTAATGACGCTACCATGTGAAAAATATAACATGAAATGATTTTTCATTTATTGCAAATTTTTGTTTTGAACTTTGCAAGAATCTCAATTTTTTGTATAATATATATATTTTTTTGGGTATGTTGAAAGAATCTTCAATTTTTTCCAACTGCTGCAATTTTTTGGTATGCTGTAAAAAACTAATTTTTTGGGTATATTGTAATTTTCTTTTGGTATGTTGCAAATAGAAGTGCAAACTTTTATGATTTCGTTTTTATTCTGAATAATGTGTGGATCACTTGATCTCTAAATAGCAAAAATTTTAATTTTTTAATACGCCTTTTAACTCGTTGGGTCAACACGAATTCGATAACTCTGGGTCATGAACAAGTATTCTGAGACCTGAACTCGAAGTGTTCCGAACCTGAAATAACCCAAACCCGATAATATAGAACTCGAACTAGACCTGACCAATCGTTTTGCCAGACCTTAGTATTACTCCACTAGGTATAGAGATGAGCAAGTATCCAAACGAACCCAAAATTTTCTAAAAGAATTGAGATTACCAAACTAATAGAATACTAAAAAAGAATTGTACCGTACTGAACTGAATGGTCGGTCTGGTATTTGAGATCAGTACGAGGTAACTTCTCAAACCAAAAAATCTCGAACCGAACATATATACAAATATGTTATAAATATAACAATATTTTTATATTTCTTCATTAAAATATAAATTCTTGATTTTGGAAAGTTGGTTCGAATGTAGATGAATTATAAAGAATCTTTTATTTATATAATCATTTATTTGAATTTTCATTTTTGTAAATGAATATAAAATATTAACAAACATCTGAAATACTATTTTATTATCATTCATTCTTTTTTGTTTGTGAATTATGAAGTATAAATTAAACTAAAGTTTATAAGCATTTTTACATTTAATAAATCATTTTTCAATTATTTTTATTTCATTATTTGAATGTACTTTCGCTTTTTTTAAAATAAAAAATTTTCTACATTTTAAGTTAAATTAGATGTGTGTATGCATGTGGGTGTGTATAAATATATAAGGAATGCTAGGGGTATACCATTTGGGGTACACTATTTATACACCATCAATCTTAACCCTCCATTTCTTTTTTCAGTTTTAAATTCTTTTTTCTCTCTTGCTTTTGTGTGGTGGAGATGGAGGGGGTACAAATGGGGTACCCCAAATGGTGTACCCCTAGCTTTTATATATATATGTGTGTGTGTGTGTATATATATATATATATTAAGAAACGAAATTTTTATTCAAATAAGAAAAAAGAAAGGTACAACGGAGGGGAGGACTAGGGCAATGCCCCTCTAGAAATGTATGGAAAAAAACTGAATGAGAAGTGAATCGAAACAACTACAGATGGTCATTCCCAAATTATATAACCTGGGTGCTGATCCAAGGCAAGGTTTCTGGGCATTATTTTCTTTGGCCTTTTCCCATCTGCCCCAATTGGGCCGACGGGTCCAAGATACCAAAAGGGCCCAGAATAACTTTTGGTGGTGACGATTTTCTCCATTGTGGTTGATTTGCGGCTGGGCCAGTATCTAGTGATCTCGCTCACCGTTCCAACTTCAAGATTTGGATCGTAGCTTCTAGTTTTAATCATCCTTGGTGCAGTTCCCCTCTTCCCCACTTTTTTGCTGCGTCTGTTCTGGACATCTTGGAAGTCGTTAGGGTCCTCCCTTAGGTTACTTGTCTCCGCTTCTTCATAGGACCTGATTTCGTAGTGCTGTCCGTCCACCTCAAAAGATTGAAGAACAGGGCCGATAGTAGTTTGGTCATTACCTGCATTGTTAGTTACTGGTGGGAAAAAATTTGTGCTAAAAGAAGGATCAGAAATAGTTTCATCATCTCCTTTGATAGAAGGGGATAGCGTGCCATCCATCTCTTTCTCGAGGGAAAGAGTGTGTGCATCACTATTATAATTTTGGGCTGGAAAATCCTCCGTTGTTGTAGTTAAGGGAGGGAATTCTTCTTCGTACTGTGTGCCTTCGAAATCTGTCTTGGGGGTCAGTTTGTGTGCCACACAGCTTTGTTCAATCTCGGAATTAGGGTCGATGTAAGTTGGATTTTGGATGGTCTCCTGAGCATCCTCACCAACACAGATTTGTTCATGCTCTACCAACACAGCTTTGACTTCAGCACTGCCAGCTGGCTCATGAGCCTTAGCATCCCTACCATTAACAATGGTGGTTGCCAAAGCTTCAACTCTTGCCATATTTGTATACGTGTCGCTAGCAGATTGTACCTCATGATCTATTTTAAGGGTTTCAGCTCCAGGTTCTAGTATCTGTTCTAGATTAATTGCCTCAGATTTTTGATCAGATTGAATCAAATTTGTTTCAACCTGGGCAGGAGAATTTGTTTCTACAGAAGTGGTATCATTCTCATTTTCATTAGCACCATCCTAATTCTGACCATCAACTTGTTTTGCCACAAGTTTTAAGGTGGTGTCCACCGTTTGCAACAGAGGGACGGCTACAGCAAGAGCTGTATTCCCAGTCCCTGGCGAGTCCTTCACCACCCATCTAGAGGATTTTGTGGCTTTTTTGCAGTTTTTGTGCCCAAAGGATTTGCAAGAGGGGCAGTATTCAAGGAGATTTTCATAGTGGATAGGTTGATGAAAAGTAAGTTGTCCAAGATGTATCCAGACACCATGGGGCAGTTCCTTACTGGTATCAACCTCAACACAAATACGTGCAACAGATGGCCTTGACAGGCTTGCTGTTGCAGCATCAGTTTTGAGTGGTTTACCAATCAAATTGGCAATGGAATATAAAGTCAGAGAATCAAAAAGATGAATGGGAAGACCTTCAAGACTAATCCAAACCAGAATTAATGGGGAATCAATATTTGGGTCAAAATCATGGGTCCAACGGAACACTTTCAAAATAAAGCCATTAATCTTCCAGAATTTTCGCAACAAGCATCGCAGAAAGTCATTCTCAGATTCGAAATTAATTAAGATGTGAGATTCATCTAGCAAACTTACAGTAAACTCCTTTTCAAAAGCAGTTCGTTCAAAGGCCTTACAGATTGAGATTAGGCATGGTCTACCATTGGTGAATCGACCCACAATTGTGCGAACAAACCTAGTAGACAAATTGTTGATTTCTTCATCTAAGAAGGATATAGCCGGTTGGCCTTTGTATTTCGTCGCTGGTTTGTAGTCGCCCTTGATAGCTATGTCGTTGAAGCTTCGAGGATGAGGGAGAGTGGTGGCCATTGCTAGAAGATGGTCGTCAGACCGCCACGCCACTGTGGCGGTCGGCGGAAACCTAGCCGAGGAGAGATCTAGAGGGAGAGAGCATATATATATATATATATATATATATATATATATATATATATATATATATATATATATATATATTTCAAAGGATTTTTATTAAAGTGAACAAAGTTACAATACGTTTGGGGAGGGCAAGACCTAGCCCCAAAGGTGTAAAGGAAGAAAGGAGGATAATGTGTTTAACGATTACAAACTGGTAAAATTAACCTAAGGATGCCAGCAGACGTCTTCCATTAAGCCAAAAGAAATCTCCTCTCCAGAGTGCATTGTTTTGATTTGGTCCCTTGATTAGCTATTTTTTCCTCCTATTTATTCAGCACCACCTTTGGATAAGAGAGGTTATAGTTCTGGTATGGCCATGAATGTTGTTTTGCCTATCTTCATGGAGGGCCGAGGTGTGATTCTTCCAAAGGGTACATGCAATAAAACCGTGTACCACTGCACGTAGGTTACCTTCTAATCCTTTTCCCCTTGCTCTTGTCCACCATTGGAGTAGGTGATGTTGGATTGTACTGTTGGATGAGGGTAGTGGTCCATCTAACAGTAGTGCGTAGTATTTCCATAAATCCATGGCAGTGGGACAATGCAGAAGCGTGTGTGTGTGTGTATAGATAATAATGATAATTCATAGAGGGTTTTAGAGAGAGATGGGGTGGCGCTAGGGCTTTTGTTCATCGTCGACCATTATGCCGCGCTGCTAGGGCCTTTGTACTGGTTGATTATCGATGATTGGGCCATGGGAAGGAAGGTAACGCCACCGGAGAAGGAAGATATCATTGGCGTACAACCACCACCAGGAACCAGTTCGAGGAGGTTAGCGTGACGCATACCGAGAGGAAGCAATGAGTCAACCATTCCATCATCGATGCTCCTTTTAGAATCCAAGCAAAGAGGTTTGAATTCCAATTTTCAACCTTTAATAATCTTATTCAGATTACTGAAAGAGGACAATGGAAAGCCTCTTGATTTTGGATAAACTAGAACATCGTTCAGTGGTTGACGTCTTGTTTTGAATTTATTCTTCTTCATCCGCCGACTACCTACTAGGACCAAGACCTCAAGGTAGGTAATCGAGCATTCTGCTTTACTCTGGACACAAATGCTGCTCGGTTTTCTATTAGAATAGTTGAGAAATTCTGAAACACCCAAACCCGTGTAACCCGAAACCACGAGTTAGCGAATCGGATTGCTACTAATTTGGTATTCACATGCACAATATTTTAAAAACATTTAAAAACAAAACAATCGTTCATATTTATTTAAGAACAAATTATAGTTAACAAAACCCAAATGTTGCGTAAGCTTGGCCTTTAGAAACATTCAACATTATTATATTCCAAATAAACAAATTCAAAGGAACATTTAAATTAAAACAAAACAGCTCTACCACGTCTCACTATCCTCCAAGCTATTCCTCGTCCAATCCTTGACCCCTACATGTAAAAAAAATAGGGAGAGTGGAAGTATCTAACGCTAGAACTTCTCCATGAAAGACTTAGGGGATGCTAGTTATGTCCTTGGCATAAGAATCTACTCGGATAGATCAAGAAAGTTAATAGGTCTGAATCAAAGTACATATATAGATAAAATCCTTGATCGATTTAGCATGTCTAACTCAAAGAAAGGATCTTTACCTATGACACCTGGCACGGTTCTTTTCAAGAGCCAGAGTCCTTCTACTCCCGAGCATAAGGAACTCATGATGAAAGTTCCATACGCTTCTGGGATTGGATCCATCGTGTACGCCATGATATGTACTAGACCTGATGTCTCATTTGCTTTATGCGTGACCAGCAGATACCAAGGAAGTCCAGGAGAAGCACACTAGACTGCGGTCAAGAACATCCTCAAGTATCTTCGCAATACTAAGGATGCATTCCTGGTATACGGTGGTGAGGAAGAGCTAAAGGTGGTCGGTTACACTGATGCTAGCTTCCAAACCGACAGAGACGATTCAAAATCACAAGTAGGATATTTGTTTTGCCTGAATGGCGGAGCTTTTAGCTAGAAGAGCTTCAAGTAGGATACAACCGCCGATTCGACTACAGAGGCTGAGTACATAGATGATGCCGAGGTAGCTAGAGAAACTGTTTAGATCAAAAAGTTCATTACTGAACTTAGAGTGATTCATAGTATTAATGACCCTATCTCGTTGTTTTGCGACAACACTAGGCCATTGCACAAGCAAAGGAACCACGATCTCACTAGAAAACCAAACATATTGTACGATGCTATCACATCATCGAGAAATCATAGATCGAGGAGATGTGATGATTTGCAAAGTAGATACTGACGACAACATAGCCGATCCCTAGACCAAGCCTTTAGGAAAGCTAAATCATGAGGGTCACACTAAGTCCATGGGATACATCTCATGCTAACGTAAACAAATATTATATTCCTAGATTTATATTTAAAGATGTTTATCAGATAGTGTTTTTCTGCTGATGAGACTAACATCTTGAAATAAATAGTTATCTGAATGTCCATAGTCGAGTATTAATGAGAGCGGGATATCGTTAATGCATGTGAGACTAGTATGTGTTGGATGTTTGACTTAGTCTCATAGTCAATGACGGTGTGTTCACATCCACACATGGGCAGATATTATCTAGAGATAATAGGAAGCCGGACTGACCCATCCTAAACATGTTGCTTGAACTTTTAGTTCATGCTCTAAGCATCTTTAGTGCGACCACGGGTGTAACTATCCTTCGACTTGAAGTATTACGTTTTCTGCATATGTGAACGTGCATGCTTTGATGCATTGTCCTAAGGCATATGAAATAAGGATTGTATACAGACTTTGTTTTGGGTATGGCGTAGCGCATATTCAGAAACGTAGATTACGTACGTAGGATTTGTCACTACTCTTTTAAAAGATTAATGTCTTATGGGGCCTTCTGATAAGTGATGACAGAGGAAATTGCATGGTCATGCTGAGATGTCTTTACATGATAAATCGGTGAATGATTTATCAGTTAGACTTGATAAATCAGTGAATGACTTAATGAATACAAGCTAGATTTTATTAATCCCTTGCATTAAGGCTAGACATTGAGACAAAGGGATACCAATACATAGAGTTTGAATCGTGGAAAGGTTTGGACAGTGCAAACGTCTTAACTTATAATCTAGGGGCAATAATGTGTTGATAGATACCACTAATTGCTTATACTCTATGTGTGCAGAGATAATACTATGGCAAGCTTTATAAGTGCCTATACGGGTCACACACTTTTGACAATTTAAGGAGTATGATTAAATAATGGGATAATAAGTAATTTGTATATTTTTAAAATAGTAAAATAAAATATTTTGAAATATCTATTATATATATAATTCGGTTATATACATACATACATACACACACACACACAGATATATATATATATATATATATATATATATATATATATGTATATGTATATATATATATATGTATATGTGTATATATATATATGTATATGTATATATATATATATATGTATATATATTAAATATTTTATTTTGGTTCGTCATTATAATTATGAAAAATAATTATCTGGACATAAAATATTTAAAGTATATTTATATACTTGTTTAAAAATGACATTGGTATTTTTATTTGATTTAAAATTAATTTTATATTAATTCTTGGTATCAAATAAAATACACTTTGAACACTAAATTGGAGAAGAATTTTACAAATCCTTCTCACATGATTTTTCGGCCAAATGACATCTTAAAGAATCAAATTTTGGTTTGATTGATTTTGAGTGGAGCTAATTATTTTTGTCATTTGGTTAATGACAAAGCCAAATCCTACATCCCCTTTTTCCTTAAATAATAGCACGCCATTTTGATCAAGATTGAGCTATTAATTTTAAGAGAGAGAAAGTGATTATTGTGTGTTCCATTAATATCATTTTGTGTATACAAAATATCTATAATATTTTTTAAATGTTTTTAAAATATTTTCTATAGAAATATACAAGATTATTACTATCCCAATTTTAATCTTTATATTTTTTACTACTATAATCTTTACTAGCATAAAGATTATGGTAGACTCTGGCGTTGTTCGTGTATCAAAGTTGGAGACCGAAAGCTTGAACGGTTACGTTTGCACTTTCAACGCTCTTCCTACGAATTCTCCGTTTTTACCGTTACCGGAGAAAGGTATAAATTTCTTACTTACTATAAGTTTTAGTACATGATTTTGGACAATATAATCATGTTAGGATGTTAAATTTTTTATATTTTGCTGCCTATCCTTGCATGGTTACTTTTCATGAACCATACTGAACTCGTGCTTCGTGTAACACCCTACAACCCGGCCCAGTCTATTAGAATTGATTGTTTTAAATAATTAATTACTGTTCCGGTCTAGAGTTGTGGAAAATAAAAGTTCTTAGAAAAATTATTTGAATATGTCATTCAATTCGTTTTGACTGGTTGATTCCAAAAACGCAAACGGATCTCAATTTGGACCTGTTCGGGGGAAAAACCGCATACCGTTCAGGTCAGATTTTAACATAACGGAGTAAATAAATATTTGTAACTCCTCATTTCAATCTACACGCCACCCCATGCATCCCCCTTAACTCTCCATAAATTCCCTCATTACTCACCATCAATTCTTGTATTTTTAAACTCCCCTTCCCATTTATTTCCCCTTCATAAAAACCCCCTTCCCCATTCATGTCCTTCATCATTTGTAACTCCCACTTCATAACTCCCTCACTCTCTCTTCCTCTTCCCCTACATTGTTCGGCCAAGGCAGCAGCCCAGGGAAGTCTCCGGCAAAGCTCCGGTGGGTGCACGGTTGAAGGAGAAGAAGAGTTAGGCCGTTCGTGTGAAACATAGCCATCCTTCGTCCGTTCGTTCATCTCGTTTCGTCAACCCCTACGTTTAGAGGTGAGTAGTTGTCTCCTCTAATTCTAGAACATCAAGTTATAATCTATGTCGTTATATGCATAGGAATATCGTACGCAACCTACAAGAATCTATGCATGTTCGTAGGTAAGCCATCAAAACGTTCACTACGTAAAACTTGTATATATTGGCCTAGGAATCACAAGGAATATATTCATAAATGTTTACATTATTGTTCTAAAAAGAATCAAGGCGTTAAGTTCACAAAACGGAGCAAAACGAAGCCAAAACCAGTGGACTGTCTACGGGACGGTCGACCGCCGCTAAGGACGGTGGACCGTTTCCCTTGACCGTCCGTCGGCCACCACCGTGACGGTCGACCGCCGGCCACGACGGAAGACCGGGGTGGACCGTTGGTGTTCCAGACCTCCATTACGCAGCCCACGGTCGACCGCCGGTAGGGTACAGCCGACCGTTCCGCGGGCAGAATTCCGGGCAGTTTACAGAACGAGCCCGTTGACCATATTGACTCAGAATCTGATTGTATGTTTGCATGAAATGTTAATCTTCATTATGTATGTTATTTATTTGATATATTCTTGGTGTTGACCAAAGGTAAATACATCAAGCATTCATCATGTTCATTCTAGACGCATGTCCTAGGTTTTTCATCATGTGCATACCACTGTAGGGAGGTCAGGCTTTTGTGCGCCTACTACAGTGGGCCCATCCAAGAACCTTTGGGGACCAACGGGTTTTCATCATGTTGGGCTTGTATGTGTACGTACATAGTAGTAAGGTTACGGCTACTACCCGGTTTTGCTAGTCCACTCGCGACATCTTCGTCGTGCCCGTCTCGTTACCGTTCGGGGACGATGACCGGAGTGCAGGGGTGATCCTGTCGAGTGAGACTAAGCCAGGGGTGTTCCTGATAGTTTAAGTCATGCATCAAGTTATATCATCATCATGTATGCTCCTATCACCTTGTGTGTGGAAATAGCCCTAGCAGGTGAAAACTAAACAGTTAGTAACATGTGGTTTTCTGTACGTTAAGTACAGGTATTAATATGTGTTTAGCCATATGGGTTATCATTAAATGTTCTTTTGTTAGATTCACACCTCAGCTTTTGCTGAGTGTGTAGTTGTTCTTGCTACACGCAGGTAGACATGACGGTACAGGTGCTAACCCTAGAGGACAGTGATGATGGGAAGATGGGCGGCGCATGGACGAGTTTAATAATTATAATCATTTGAAATAATTAATCATTTGGGCATGAACCCATCAAATGTCGTTTTACTTATTTTGGACTTATATATTTACTTCCGCTTTTACTCTGCATTTATATCACATAC